TTATACTACTTGTTTGCATGATTAAATATAAAAATTTAGAGATTTTATTATTTATTTTTCTTGTATGGGATCTAATTTTCCTGGTTGCTCATGACTTGATTTAAACATGTAGCATGATTTTATATTGCCCCTTGATATGCTCATTGTCGTGTATTAAAATTGGAACATTTGAATAAGTATTAAAGATTTTATTTAATATTTATCTTAGGTGAAAGATTAATTCACATGGCCTTAACTAGCTTAAAATCAATATGTGTTAGCATATTAAATTAGGCCTTAGCATGCTCTTCAACATAGTTGAATTTGAAAGTGATTGAAGGTGTTTTGAAAATTAGTAATTATTAATTAATTTGATTAATTAATTTGCCCCGAGTGCACTATTCACTCTATTTAAATTCCGACTTGATATTCTTGATTTACATACCATATAGCTTCACATATATTTCATTTAGAATATTCGGTTAGGTTTTGAAACCTTTTATTTAATTAAATTCCATGTTTAAGATTTAATCCTCATGGTGATATACCACTTGGGATTGTATTGTAGCATGCTAGAAAATTAAGCTTAGGTATAGTTGTTCACATATATTAAATTGGGATTAATTGCATGAGAATTGCAACTTTTAATTTATATTTAACTTTAGTGAAAGGTTAAGTCACATGGTCTTAAATTGAATGAAATAAACTTATAATGTAATATTACATTAGTCCTTGGCATATTCTCTAAGATATGTTAAATTGAGAGCATTTGGTTAAGTTTAAAAATCTAGAAATTTCAATTAAAAGAATTAATTAAAATCTATTTTGTGGTCCCATTAGCTTAATTAAGGTTTTAACTTGATATTTGTATTGGCCATGACTTGTTTACTAATATATATTAATTTGGGACTGTTAGAAGTTGTTTTAGAACCTTGGTAATTAAATTAGCATGATTTAACTAAAGTTCTACTTTGTTGTTTCAACAACCTAATTGAGTTTTAGAATGGATATTGGTGATAACCATACCATGTCCTTTAACATATATTAAATTGAGGTTATTTGGAATTGAATCGGAATCTAGAGAATTTAATTGTGTTTATCTATTTAAATTCTTTCAATTTGCTCCATGATCTAGTTGTGTTTTAGAAATGGTTTCTATATTCAAATCATGGACTTAGACTTGTTGTATATTCATTTGGTTATGTTTTGAACATTGGATAACATAGTTGCTATGTTTGTATTCGTGATAATATGTTTTCCTTATTGAATATATTGTTGCCTTGTGTAATGATTTGCACACTTCGTGTCTAACATCTTTCATGCATAGCGTGTAACGAATCGCACACTGAAGATTCGACATTCATCATATCATATTAGTTGTGGATTTAGAGCATGTATTGTATAGGTTTCCAAATTTGGTTGTGCTTAGTAGATAGTTGATTATCTTGCATATTCCTGTTGATATATGCGTTGTTGCACAACTTGTTGATTTTGAAAACTTGGGGATGTCGTTGTTTGACTATGACTAGGACGTGGTTCTAGTACGGGGGATAGTCCCTCTATATGGTCTAGTGCGCACATAGGGAGGTTACCCATGGGCTAGTAACCCTAAAGTAACTATGTTGTTGGTCTGATCCGGCGTGACGTCCGAGTATCCACTTTGTTTGATTTCGCATTTCATTTTCAAGTTGATAACTAGATGATGTTGTAACTTGTTGTTTCTTATTTGTCGTTCCATTTTAAGTTACAGGATGTTAACTTTGCGAAATTATGCTTTATGCGTTGTATTGGAAGTTCCAATGTTAGTTTAATTGCATCGATATTGAAAATCGTGTTTTAACGTTCTAATAAAGCTTAGGATTTATCCTATTGATTCATTTATAACATAGACGTTAGGTGGCATGAACCACTACTGTTATTTTGTGCTTTAGATTCTAAGTTGATGGCTTTGAGAACTTAAACCTTATTGCATTGAATAACATGCTCTTTTGTTGTTGAATTGCATGGATAATGTGATTCTTGTTAACTTGTATTCAAATATGCTTTTGTCATGTTGTATGGATTACTCTAGACCTAGTTCAATTGTATTGAAAATGCAATTCATGTTAATCTATGCTCAAGCATTCTTCTTGTCGTGTTCTTTGGATTATCCCAACCATGATTCATTTCATACACGTATGTATATCATGATTCTTGTTTCTTAGACTCTAAGGTAGCTTAGGATGCTCCCCGAGTCTCACTTGGACATAGACGTTAGGTGGCATGAGCCCCTTTAACATGTTTCACCTTAAGGTGATAAATTTGTAAAATGCTAGGTCGATGCATACTCATCTCCTACGAGTAGCTTTATGTTACTCACCCCTACGATACTAGGGTATATTTCAGGTACGAAGACTTGGTTCGTGAAGCCTAGCATTCCTTGGATGTCGTGTAGCTTTCAAGTTTTCATTTCATGCAAATGTTAGCATGAAATGTCATTTGTAGACTTATATGTCAAAATATGTATATTTGATTCCATGTATGTAATGTGTACTTAAGTACACTCCTTTTAATGTATTTGATATGTATGAGATGAGGCCGGAGGCCAATAACATGTGTTTTGTATTTTATATAACTTTTTAACTTCATGAAATATTATGAAAACCTTGAAAAATCGCAAGTCATTGCTTCACCATGGTTGCATCGGGTGTGGGAATTCTAGTTTCATTCTTTCATAGAGTCTTATTAATCCTGTACGAAGTGTGGCCAAGGGCCAAACGGTTATTTGATCCCGTTTTGCATTTTTGGATTCCATGTTTTCCATTCCAAGTCCATTTTTGCCTTTTTGCCCGTTGGGGAGTTAGATTTTGCATCGGCTATATTTTTAAGCCATGAACCATTGTAATGCATCTAAATAGGTAAGTTACGTTTGCGTGCATAGTCGTTTCCAAGCAAAACCTCATCGTTTGTGTTTTGAGCCTCTTGTGAATTCATTTCGCATTTTTTTTGCATATTCTGATCTAGGGGCATTATGGACCTTTTACCTCAGTTTTATTTTCTTCTTTCAATATGGTCGCTTAGAAAACGTGATTTTAGGGGGGGTTTCTTTTTCGTGTTTTTCCAGAAAATGTCGTCTTGGTACCGAAAATCCCTCGTGAAGTTTCAGCTTCCAGTTTTCATTTAGCAGCTTTATGACCCTCTTATTCAGTTCTGATCTAGGGGCATTTTGGGGATTTCACAGTGAGTTTTTTTCGATTCCGTCCGCAATGTCGGGTAGAAAACTCAATTTTAGGGGGGGTTTTTTCTTTGTTTTTTTCCAGAAAAACTCGTCTTGACCTCCATTTCAAGCCTCAGTTTTGGGCAGATAAAAAAAAAGGTAGCAGCAGCCGAGGGCTGCCACCAGCCATGTCTTTGGGCGCAGGTGGGCTCGCGCATGGGCGCCGTGTGCGCCATGGCCCCTCGTCGGGCCGCCGCGACGTCAGTTCTTCTTTTGGGCTTTTTTCCTTCATTCAAACTCCGATTCAAGTGAATTTTTTTTGAACTTGACTAATTTTTTGCTGTCTTTCCAACAGTGTGCTCGGTTACACCCGGTTCTTCCTGGATAATTACCATTTTACCCTTTTTGCTTTAAATGCTCGTTTTTCTTCGTCATGCCGTTTCTCCTTCGTTCGGACTCCGAATCATGCAATTCTTGAGTCTATCTTGATTAGTTTTTCGTTGTCCTTCCATTTGTGTGCTCGGTGGCACCCGAATCTACAGTTTTCAAAAATGACTATTTTGCCCCTGGGGGCTTATTTGTCATATTTTCGATCTTTTGCTTCCGCATCAGTTCTTGTTGAGTTCCTCGACCTCATAGAAGGTCACTTTGACTTCTTAGAGTCTTGTTTTCTGTTTTCGCTTCCGCATTCGAATCTGTTATCGGATCATCTTTACGGTTCATCACAGGACACGCTGGCCTAAAAACCAGGGTCGTCACAGGTACTATCCATTTAGTTTGACAAGCTTTGCAAGTTATTTTTTGCTTTAATAAACTAAATACTTGTACATTTTTTCTTCAATCATTTTCATTTTTCCTTTGAGTTTTGTTATTCATGCTAACTAAACACAGTCTTGGACCATTAGGTGTCCAATGCCCTGGGAAGGGGGCCACAAGTATGGGCATTGAAAGACGCCTAAGGGATGGGCCGAGCCATTAATAATAGGCCCAAAAAATGTAAACCTAGCCCAGGCGAACTTACCTTTCCACGTGGGTCAAGCTAACCCGCTAAGTAGATGGCACATTAACAACAAAATGTGGGTATAAAGGGAAAAATATTAGGGCAATGCACGGACACTATAATATAAACAAGAAAGATAGTGGGAGGGGGATCGTGTATTGTATGGAAACTTTCCATTTATGGGAGAGAACCTATTTCTGTACCTACACCTAATTGAAGCTATTTGTGGGAAACGACGAGTGAGATCTCGTACTTTTTCGACTTGATTCATGACACAACTGTGATTAGGAACCATGATCAGAGAAGGAAGTACGCTTCAGCAAGGAGAGAATCGAAGCGATCGACAAGATGAGCTCTGGTAACTGGTTCACGCCCTACGCCGGGAGATTGCAGAGCTAGTCAAAATTGCATCAAGAGAACACGGAGCTCAGATAACGTTTTGAGGATGATCCTATGCTATAACTTCCGCGTCCTCTAGTGGATGTCGCGGCAGCAAACGAAGTTGATCAATTGCAGAATGACTGGGTCAAATCTCTTCACCTTGACTCCCGCCGACCTAAAATCGACCCAGGGTGCAAAGGATTGACGAATGAGCAGGAGGGAACTAGTCCTCCCACTACGCAAAAATCTACTGTAGACCAAATGTCCGACGAAATGTACAAAATGGATCAGGACACAGGTTTAAAAGAAAATAGGAGAACACATTACAACAGTTATGACTTTTAGTAGCACTCAAAAACGCTGGTAAAAGTCCCAAAAAAACGCTCGTAATTCAATTACCAGCGTTGGTAGGGCTTTACCAACGCTTTTTCAAAAGCGCTAGTAATGACCTTTTTTAAGAAGCGCTGGTATAGGGTATTTACCAGCGATTTTTTAAGAAGCGCTGGTAAAAGGTCATTTTATGTTTTTTTTTTTTCCTCTTTGCCGTAAAGGCACATTTTTTTTTATTTTTTTATTTTTTGCCTTTTATTGTTTTTGAAAAATGTCTTGGTTGCTAAATGTCATCCAATATAACATAAGTTGTTACTATAAAAGTACTATCCAAATTGTTTTTACATATTACAACCACAAGTTAACCTGCTGCCAATATGAAAAATACCATCGAAATTGTTTACCAATAGATAAAGCTGGTAAATGTCAACCAAAACTCAAAAAATGTCTACTAATACAACCACAAGTTAACCTGCCAATATGAAAATACCATCCAAATTGTCTAGATCTACTAAATGTGACAAAAAAAAAAATAGTTAAGAATTTTTGACAAATGTAGTACAAGTTTTTTTTAAAAAACCCATCCAAGGCGAAGGAAAATGCTAAAAGCATAGCCGCAAGCCCATCTTCAGCTTCAACTTCAACTTTGACAACTTTTCTTGCCCATTTGATTTGAATTACCCTACATTTTTTATAAATTCATTAAGCGAACATTATAATAAATGAAAATTTAACATATAAGAGAAATTAAAGTTCATAACCTTAATTGAATTGGCATCATAACTAGAAAATGAATATATACAACACAAGAACATGCACAAAACCTTTTACATACTACATTATATATAAGACAGTAATTTCTGAGTTCTGCTAAACTGCTATAAGAAATATGAGCAGCAAATTCATGTTCGTTAGAACCTAAGAATAATCACTCATATGAAAAGAATTTAGGAGATAAACAACGTGTGTGTGTGTGTGTGTGTGTGTGTGTGATAGATTTTCTAATAGTAACAATATGAAACAAGATTTCCCTAAAAGAATGATAATGTGGTGAATCATAGCATTTGCAATAATAATTCTCCAAAGGATTAAAATTAGTTGTGGGAACTATAATTATTATTAATTTTGCAAATAATCTATAGTAATTAGTAATTTGAAGAGACAATGCATGTTTTGTATTTTGTTTTTGTCTGGATCTATGCTATTTATCAACTATGGTGAGTCACTGGTTTCCTAAAAAAAGGTAGAACTTGTTACTACAACCTAGATGATAGAACATAAACCTTTTCTATAACTGATTCGTTAAAAAATCCGATTTTCAAATTACTATAACAAAAATTTGTACTCTTATGAGGTTTAAGTAAAACTGTTAGGAGTAGTAAAACATATTTCTATTTAAAATGATGTAGTTCAGGCCGAACTCAGAAGATGCATCCGTCTGGATTATCTAAGGCATTCTCCTTAAATGCATATAACGTATTGTACAAATTTATCAACTTTAGCCTAGACATGTTTGAGATGTAAAAAGACGGTACAATAAGATAGAAAGAAGTACCAAACTGGACACATCTTCCTCTATCCCACTGTCATTTTCCACAGGATCTAATGGGAGTTCTCCACTGTTTGATTCAATCTTCTTGATAAACTTTGTTGAGTACAATATCACCCCAAATCTCATAGGAAAACTATTCTCGTACAAAGAAATAATCATGTCAATTGCCTACAAAAGACAATGAAACTAAAATTAGATAAGTAATTCTGGCAACAGTATAATGCACATACAACGAACTGACGTCACTTTTTACACAATAAAACTTGCCTCAAGTCCACAAATGGATGTAGGATCCACAACAAAAAGTGTATGGAACAAGTTCTTACGAATATAACGTAGTTGCCCAAGGAATACCAGTATCAAAATCTACAACACCAAAGTAAAAAGATAGAAACGCTTTTTTCAAAAGAATGCAAATTAGTGCATGAAGCCATCTAAAGTAAATAATAGAATTGAATTCATCTATGTGAAAGATAAACACACCTCATTTATATTACTACGCCAACGATTGTACATTGCATCCACCTCTAAAACCACCATTGGTTATCAAAACACGAAAGCTCTACTATGAAGATGTATTCTACTCATAAGAGTTTAGTGTATCTAGGTTACTTAATTAGATGCCAATCTATAAGATAGTTAAAATTTTAATTCTAGGCTTCTATCTCTTTCGTGCATAAGAAAACCCGTGAACTACAAGGAGGTTGTGTGTAAGGTAGTCCCCAGAGCTCAGACAAAGGAGAAAGGCAGCCTACAGGAAACCTTTCATTATTCTTATGTAAGTTGAACCTGGAAAGGAAAGAAAAATGACATTCCAATCCAGAGTAGTTAGGATTTGGTCTGTTGAGTTATAATTTTTAGTATCTCAAAATGCAAAAAGATCCTTTTGTGGTGTTATCTACAAAACTGAAAACCCTACATCCATATGATTAGTAATATATAACACCAAGATCATTCGAAGAAAACCTGGTACCAGCTACACAAAAAGATGGGGCAATTCTCCTTGCTAGAATCTTCTGGTAACTTCCGCAGTTGATGTTCTTACTAGAATGTTGTGAGGGTAGAACAATTGGAGCTTGTATAACACCCCAATATACAAATATAAAATATTAGTTTCTTTCTTTTAGTAAGGGTTCTATAATCCCATCTCTGAATTATTTGTGTTTGTGTTTGGGCTATAAAGATAAAACCAAAGTATTCCGAGGAAAGTTACTAGCTCCTTAAGTTGTGATATCTGAGGTTAGTTGCTTAAGTATCTTGGTCTTCCTTTGAGAGTGAAGAGGGAAAAGTCTTTTGGGGTCCAACAGCAAAAAAGGTGCCAAGTACTTAAAAGGGTGAAAGAATGTATACATTTAACTAGGAATAAAATCACTGTAATCTAGATCTCTTACTAGCATATCCCTACCTACCTTAATTTACAATTACTCAACTCTTAAAGCCTTCAAAGAAAGGAGTAGGAGAGCATACTAGGTGTCATGAAGGTTCACAAAAAGAACAATTCTTTCACTTAAGGCCAGTCATAGTGGGTATGTTTTTAAGGCTGAAATTTATCTTTGTTAGAAGGTACTCAAGAAGCTCAAGTGTTGGGATTAATCAATCTTTGTGTTCTAGATGGTTTATCCTTTACAGAGCAGGTGATAAACTGTAATCAGGATCTAAGAGGAAAAGTCTTCTCAATGCACAAATCTTGTTAGAACTTCATAATATCATATGCTGTCACTGTATCTTACTTATCAAAAAAAAAAATATGTTGTCACTGTATCCTATGTGCTAGTCACAATCGATTATAAGCATAATTAAAAAATAAAAAATAAACAATTTTTCATCACAGTTAAGAAATTTTGACCTCACACAAGTCACTTGTCTTTCTAATTTTCTTGAACTGGGATGAGATTTCTTAGAACATTTTGTTTGGAATCAAATTGCTCACATTTGGATTAGACTTAATACTTTTCATAGCCCACTAGCAAGCAGTATTAGGATTAAATCTGCAGCTTATAACCAAGTAAGATTTCATATTCTTATATTTAATTTTCCCATTGTGAGGTTAGGGTCGTATAGACCAAGCAATATGTATATATAGAGACAGGGAGATACAAGATGAAGACATGGTGTATGATGAATCAGACAAGAAGATTCTCCTACTTGGAAAACAATAGCAATTATGGGTCACAAGTCACAACTATGTTTCACTAAAATGTGATACAGAATATTTAGATAGTAAAAAATTCAAATGTTTTCAGATAAAGGATCAGCAATTTAAGTAGTAATAAAAACAACTAAAGCATCAAAGCCACTGTAATGTGGTATCACAATTTGGGTAAAAGTAAAGTGACTTTTTCAGGAACAAACAAACCAGAATTTTAGAGAATATGAACCCTCTAACTTCTTGACTGAGATCTTTAGTGTGAGGATCTTCAAGAGTGACACCTGCACCACATACATCATTTTCTTAAATAAACTAATCTTAATGAAAAATCCAGTAATACAAAAATGGAAGTGCCTCACTTCTATGGCAAGATAACAGTTCAGAAAACCCAAAAAAGTTATATAACATTCCTTATCCATAAACCAAACTGAAAATTAAAATAACAGAAAGCTAAAACAGAATTACAGATATTTTAAAAAAAAAAAAAAAAAAAAAAAACTCCACCTTAAACATTGGTCATACATAAAAATGTATGCTAGTACTAACTCATTTTAACAGCAAGAATGCAAAAATTACCTGCAAAGCGTATGTAATAAACCAAGAAAAATAAAATATCTCATCTTTTAGACCCATCATGTACTGACCCTCTTTTATTTTCTGCTCCTGAAGCATTAGAATAAAAAATGAGCTCAGCCCAAAAGTTTTTATAAGCAAGGACTACTCCAATTTTGATATTTCAGAGATGAGAAAGACATCAATGTATGCAAAAATGTACAAAAATAAAAGAGACTAGGAACATTATGAGTCCATGATTAATAATGTATTAAACCCATTACCAAACCTTCTCGAACACAGAGTAGCTTGCGCATAAAAAATAATGAATTTAATAAAATTAAAAATAAAATAAAAACTAGAGAGATTATTTGGTGATAGATACAACATGGGCAATAATAAATTTTAAAAAATAAATGATACATATGGCAACCCCATGGGCAATTCTTCCACAATTAGAAATTTATATTTATATAGATATATATATATATATATATAGAAGTCTAAATCAAAATGTAAAATGAACATAATCATCAACATAACACCAAGATAGAGATTTTTTGACACAATTACAACAAACAAGAACATACCTGAATGAAAATAAAAAGAATCCCCAAGAAATAGAGAAGTGTAGCTGTAATCTGAACCATGGGGACGGCGAACTCGATGAGGCCGAGCTGGACGTCGAATTCCATCAACGGCAATCGGTAATCAATGTTGGCGAGATGAGCAAGGAGATCGTGAACGTTCACAAAGATTATGAGAGCTAAGCCTATAAGTAGAAGAACCAAACCCAATTTTGGCTCACTGGAGAGCTGAGCCACGAAGCCATAGAAAAGAACAATGGTGGCGAACACGTATAGGCCGACGTTCATGTACTCGGACTGGTTTCGAGCCAGCTGGGGTTCGTATATCCGACTCTCTCGGGCTGATACAAGCTTCACCATTCTGATCAATCAAGACTGGTATGGTATAGGTACATAGAGAGAGAAAGTGAGAAAAGTGACAGAGAGATTGAAGGCAGAGTTGCTAAGACAGAGGGGTGGTTGAGGAGGAGGGGCACGTGTCATCACGATTAGGGAGTTGCAGAGAGAGAGGGGTGGTTGAGGAAGAAAGACTGAGAATAGAGATGGAGGCAATTGGGGAGTTACAGAGAGAGAGATTGAGGCGATTGGGGAGTTACAGAGAGAGAGGGGGGCAAGTTCAGAGTTGAGACCAAGAATAGAGATGGAGACGATTGGGGAGGCTAAAGAGAAACTAGGGCTAGAATGAAATTGGTAAAGTTAGAAATAAAGTGAAATAATATTAGAGCGCCAAATTTTCCTGCACTACATTTCGCACTTAGCAGCGTTTGTTTAAAAAGCGCTGGTAATTAGTACTCAACACCAGCGCTTTTTTAAGAAACGCTGGTGTTGATAGTACTCAACCTTAAAAAGCGCTGGTAATTAATACTCAACACCAGCGCTTTTCTAGAAGCGCTGGTAATTAGTACTCAACACCAGCGCTTTTTTAAAAGGCCTGGTAATTAGTACTCAACACTAGCGCTTTTTTTAAAAGCGCTGGTGAAACCCTAATATGTTGTAGTGACAAATGAAGGAGCTAAAGGTGCTTACGTCAGCTAACATGGCCGCCAAGACATCCACCCACATAGTGGAATCCCCCCTTCACAAAGGAGATCCTTAAGAGCCTAAGCTAAAGAAGTTCGTCATCCCAATATTCACCTCATTTGTTAGGACGAAAGACCTAATGGAGCACATCTACAATGTGCAGCTCAAAATGGCTCTGCACACTGAGGATAACACTTTGAAGGGCAGTGTACGCGCTCAACTGGTTCAAACATTTGATAAACGAACAGTCAGCAGTTTCCATCAATTGTGTGAACTGTTTATGCCTAGTACTTTGGTAACCAATGAATTCAGAAGACCGTATCGAACCTATTCACGATGAGGTAGCAAGCAATTGCAAGCTTTCCTCACCATGTTCAACTTAGAAATGAGTATGGTTGATAGCTACGATCAAATGGCAGTGGTAGAAGCTTTCAAGCTGGCGATCATTCTAGGGATGAAATTCTATTCTTTATTAGTAAGAAGACCCTACTAAATATGGGGACGTTATGTGCCAAGGCTCAAGGATACATACAACTAGAAGAAGATGAGGTAGTAAGGATACAATGAACCACCATGGTTGCCGTAAAGAGCCAATCATGTGATAAGATGAAGAACCAAAGGCCTTTAATCGAAGCACCACCAACTCTTTGGCGACCTCCCAAACGATAGAGAGAGAAGGAAACTTTGGCCCCTCTAAAGATCTCACTCGAAAGGCTCCACCAAGAGAACAAGGCAAAGTTCACACCACCACAACAAATCAGACAACCGATCGAACAAAAGGACTAGTAAAAGCACTACGCCTTCCACAACGATTTTGGCCATCAAACCAATGAATGCAAAAATATGAGAAGACTTGTTATAAAAATGATCGCCAAGGGTGAGTTGCCAAATTATTTATTGACCAAAGATTACCAAACTCCAAACCAAATGACAGGGAACCATAACCCGATAAAATGGAGTGATAAAGCTACTAACCCTCAAGAGGCACATCCCATTCGGATCATCAACACTATACATAGGCGACCAGAGGAAGATAAAAAGATTGAAGAAGGACACCGATCACGTCTAAGGCAAGCACAAAAGTTAAGAAGATTGGGTAGTGTCGAGACCATGAAAAGGGAAAATGGCCTAACTCAGATTAGATTCGGTGAAGCCGTCGTTCAAAAAGTGCAAACCCCACACGAGGATCTTCTCATGATTAGCCTCATGGTGGCTAGTTGCCTTATAAAGCAAGTCCTAATTAACCCAGGAAATAGTGCCAATATAATCACCAAGTCAGCCTTCAAACAACTGATGGTCGACCCAAAAAAATCAGGTCGACTGGGAACCCAATGGTTGGTTTCGATGGTAAAATAGTGGAACCAATTGGAGTAATCAAACTGTTAGTATGTGTTGCGCGGAGGAACCATAAGGAGAAATTTATTATTGTGGACGTCCACCCATCCTATAACTTGTTGACGGGGAGGGGGTGGATCCATCGCATGCTGGGCATCCCATCCATCTTGCATCAGGTTATGAGATGCTTGAACCCAAAAGGAAATGATGTGATTAAAATTCGAGGAGACCAAGTCACTGTAAAGGAATGCTACACAATAACCCTCTGAACAAGAGATCTGGACAAGGTTATCGCCCGACCCTAAGACCCTAAATAGTAATCATAAAGCCCTCTGTCCAAGTCTATTGAATAAATCATAGAGGTGGATATGCAATTCCTCACTAAAAAAAAGCTGAGGAAGTACAAATTTATCCGCGTAAAGTAGAAAGTAAACAAGGGTAGGTCACTACAATCCCAAGAAGAGAAAAATGAGTTAGTTGAGCTTTTAAGAAGAAACTTGTATGTCATTGCTTGAAGCCACCTAAATATGCCAGGGGTGAAGCCAAAGGTTGCTTGCCATAAGTTAAATGTTGATCCAAGTTTTCGACCCATACGACAGAAGCAAAGAATATTTGCCTCATAAAGGATCTAGATAATAGCTGAAAAAGTCGATCGCCTATTAGAGGCAAAATTCATCAGGGAAGTGCATTACCTTTAATAGTTATCAAATGTGTACATAAAAAGAACGGAAAGTGAAGGGTGTGCATTGACTTTATAAACCTTAACAAAGCATTCCCCAAAAGCAGTTAAATATTCAAACAGAACCTTGATATGATATAAGAAAAGATAGAAGCAGGAGTGATAAGGCTAACCTCCTACCAGCAAACTTTAATAAATAACCACAACAAAAAGGTCAACCACAAAGCATTTACCTAAGGAGATCTCGTCCTAAAAAGAAAAGCAGATATAGTATCCAAGATGGAACCCATTGGGAAGGACTATTCGAAATCACTAAGGTTGTGGGGAAAGGAGTGTAAAAGCTCGAAAGGCTCACTGACAAGCCATGGAATGCCACATACCTAAAAAGGAACTTCTAATAAAAGATTCTATCCTTTCCTCCTTTCTTTTCATTTTATGCTAAAAAAAGCTTGTAAGGTTGAGTTGAATGCTAATATAACCTTTCATGAAAAGTAAATGTTATAAAATTATAAAGTGATAACTTCTTCTTAGTATAATAAGTTGCATGAATGATTATCAACCATAAACTTGAAAAAATCTTTCAAGTTTTCTATAAAGATTAATTTTTTCAACTTGAATGGCAAATAGCATACAGTGCATCCAATCAAGTTTAGAGGATGATATCATAGAAACTTACAAGTTGAATGGTAAGTGGCACTAAGAGCCGATCACCAAAGACTTAGTTAAAATTTCAAAGAAAATTACAAGTTGAGTGGCGAATGGCACCAAGAGCTGATCGCCAAAGATTTAGTCAAATTTTAAAAGAAAATTACAAGTCAGAGTGGCAAGTAGCACTAAGAGCTGATTGCTAAAGACTTAGTCAAATTTTCAAATAGAAAAGTACAAGTTGAGTGGCAAATGGTACCAAGAGCCGATTGCTAAAGACTTAGTCAAATTTTATAAGAAAATTACAAGTGGCACTAAGAGCCGATCGCCAAAGACTTAATCAAATTTTCATAGAAAATTACAAGTCAGAGTGGAAAGTGGTACCAAGAGCTGATCACCAAAGACTTTGGTTAAATTTTTAAAGAAAATTACAAGTCAAAATGGCAAGTGGCACCAAGAGCTCATCGTAAAAAACTTAGTTAAATCTTTAAAAAAAATTACAAGTTGAGTGGAAAGTGGCACTAAGAGGTGATTGCCAAAGACTTAGAATTTACAAGTTGAGTGGCAAATGGCATTAAGAGCCAATCGCCAAAGACTTAGTTAAATTTTCAAACAAAATTACAAGTTCAGTGACAAGTGGCACAAAGAGCCGATCGCCAAAGACTTAGTTAAATTTTTTACAAGTTAGGTGGCAAGTGTGGCAGAGAAAAAAGAGCTAAAATATCATAAATAGCAAAAGACATTTCCTGGTATTATATGATAAAAATATCCAATCCAAAGATGGAAAAGTCAAATGTTACACCACGTGCCTTGGAGTTACAAAAGGAACAAAAAAAAAAACCCTACACATCATCCTACTAGGAAGGAGAAGACTCAACATTCACAGTTTTCTCTACAACAAACTCTGAATTTTCTTCTATCTCCAGCAGGGATCACATTAACAAAAATTGGAAGATCCTCAACTCGAACTATTGATCCATCTTACTAGTTCTGAGGAGCTAGAGACAGGGGGATCAACGGTAGGAAATGAGGGTGGAGTGGGAGAAACCTTGAAAGAAACCAGAATGTCTGAACACTCCTTTGAGACTTCTTATATGAGATCCTTGAAGGGGATAACATAGTTCTCGGGTGGCCCAATACCTAAGGCCAAGTCACAGGCATCCAGACCATTGTATGCTCTTCTTGCCCCTTTAGTTAGATGATAGTCCAGGTAGACATCTCGGTAGCTATTTACATACCTCATGGCTATAGTACGGGACAACTAGGAGTGTAAAGTGGCAATACCACCTTGCACCGTACCGAGTAACCCTAGCATATAAGAGTACTTGCTAGCGACATCCTCTAGCTTCGTCTATGCAAACATACAAGCGGCCTTAGATACCTCCAAGTTCTTTGCCATTTCAGAGCGACTCCATTCAGATTCGCGAAGCTA